CCTCGTGCCCGAGGGTAACTCCTGCGCTTCTCCGCAGCGCGAAGAAGGGTGGCCTGGGGGGCATGTTTGGCATGCTGAAAGGCCTGGTGGGCTCCAAGAGCTTGACAAGGGAGGACATGGACCCCGTCCTGGAGAAGATGAAGGATCACTTGATCGGTATGTCTGGGTCAGCTGGAGGTGGCTCCCCGCGCTCCGTCGGGTGGCAGCGCCCACGCTTCGGGCCGTTCTTGCCCACAGGAACCACGACGGGTTCCTGTCTCGTCTCTGGGGAGTCCTCGACAGCGCATCAAAAAAGGGGGCAGCGGTCCAGTCCGGTGGGGATCCCGCACATGGACTCCATCCTTCCCTCGCCGCCAACGTCTGGCATCTGTGACCTCCTCAGCAGCGCTAACTCCCCCCTCTCTCTCTCTCTTTCTTTGCTGAAGCAAAAAACGTAGCGGCCGAGATTGCAGTGCAGCTCTGCGAATCGGTGGCTAAGAAACTGGAAGGGAAGGTGATGGGAACGTTCACCAGTAAGTGGCCGCGTGGCCTCCTGCTCGTTGGTTTTGGGGCCGAGGGGCGTTCCCCGGGTGTGACAGGTTCTCCTCCTGTCTCCTCAATGGCCTCAAGTCGCGTCAGGGGAGATTTAAATTAGATATTAGGAAGAATGTCTTTACTGCAAGAGTTTTGAAGCAATGGAACAGGGTGGCCAGGGCAGCGGTGGAGTCGTTATCCCTGGAGGCGTTCAAAAACCGCGTAGATCTGGCACTTCAGGATGTGGTTTAGCAGGCATGGTGGTGTTGGGTTGATGGTTGGACTTGATGATCTTCGAGGTCTTTTCCAACCTTACCGATTCCATGATTCTGTCCTCCCTCCCAGCGGTGACCTCGACGGTGAAGCAGGCGCTGCAGGAGGCTCTCGTGCAGATCCTGCAGCCTCAGCGCCGTGTGGACGTCCTCCGTGACGTCATGGACGCCCAGCGCCATCGCCGACCCTACGTGGTCACTTTCTGTGGCGTCAACGGCGTCGGGAAGTCCACCAACCTGGCCAAGGTAGGACGCGATCCTCATGGCTCTCCACAGCCGGGGTGATGAGGTCAGGCTGTGGCTGCTGAAGGGGTTTTTTTTTAATTATTATTTTTTTTTTTAATCTGTTGCAACGTGCAGATCTCGTTCTGGCTCATCGAGAATGGTTTCAGCGTCCTCATCGCTGCCTGCGACACCTTCCGCGCGGGAGCGGTGGAGCAGCTCCGCACCCACACCCGTCGCCTCAACGCCCTGCACCCTCCGGAGAGCCACAGCGGGCGGACCATGGTGCAGCTCTACGAGAAGGGCTACGGCAAGGATGCCGCTGGGATTGCCATGGAGGCCATCTCTTACGGTAGGCGGGAAAAAATCCGGTGGTGGGAGACACCGTCTCGGGGGAGCATCCCGCTTAGTGCTGCCTCCTCGGCTCCAGCTCGGAACCAAGGCTTTGACGTGGTGCTGGTGGACACAGCGGGCCGCATGCAGGACAACGCTCCCTTGATGACGGCGCTGGCCAAACTCATCGCCGTCAACGCTCCCGACCTGGTCCTCTTCGTTGGGGAAGCGCTGGTGGGAAATGAGGCCGTGGATCAGTTGGTGAGGGTCGAGGCTTTGTTTCCTGAAGGATGGGGGGCGGGAAACCCACTTCTGTAGTTTTTCATCGGAGATTTGCACGGCAGCAGCACCGCAGATGTGTTTCTCGGCTCTGTTCGCTTCCTCAGGTCAAGTTCAACAAGGCCCTGGCCGATCACTCCATGGCCCAGACGCCGCGCCTTATCGACGGGATTGTCCTCACCAAGTTCGACACCATCGATGACAAGGTAAGGAGGCTGCGAGACGGCTCCACGCGGAGCTTCCCACCGGAGCGATGGGAATTATCAAACACGGGGCCGTCCCGGACGCCCTCCTCTTGTATTTAAACCATTTAAACAAAATTTAGCCGTTTGTTTTCTGCGCGTGTGGACACCAGGGCTGCACGGTCTCTGGGTTTATACGCGTTACCGCAGCGGGGCGTATAGGCACCGTACAGATGGGGAAACTCGGAGGCATCCGGAATATTTGACGAGCTCTTTGGCACGTTCCCCCGAGGAGGTAACGGTGCTTGTTGTCCTGGGCAGGTCGGCGCCGCCATCTCCATGACCTACATCACGAGCAAGCCCATCGTTTTCGTTGGTACCGGACAAACTTACTGTGATCTGCGAAGCCTTAACGCCAAGGCCGTGGTCGCAGCGCTGATGAAGGCCTAAAACCCACCAAATCGCTGTTCGCAGACGTCCGAGAAGAACATGCTTTACCCCGTTACCGACTAGTCTTTCCCGTGTAGTGCAGAACGGAACAAAGGGATACCAGCGCGAGGGGTCTTTTTCTTGAGTTGTTGTTTTTTTTTTTTGGCTAAACCCCTTTTATCCAGCGAAAGCCCTGCCCCTGGGTTCCTTCGTTCTGTTTGAAGCGATGCAGACTCCCTCGCGGGGAGGATGAATCCAGAGCTTTGTAT